TCAGCAGTTTGGAACCCAATACATCACAAAATAGCTATCAATGGTCTGGTGGTTTGGTTTTGTTTTGTTTTCATTGTTATTCTTCTGTTTTTCTTACGTATTAAATGAAAATGTTCAAAGATTTTTGGTAAGGTCCCTGTCTAGAAATTTCCTCTATGTGGCAGGAGATGGCTGGCTATTACATTTCAAAGCCTTACATCACATGTAGCATGCAATGAACCTTTTCCAATAAATTCAGAGCTCATATGTAACAACCATTTGTGGTTGATGTAGCCATTAATAAATATTTCTAGGAGTCTGCATTCCTACATACCATCCTCTTACCTGGCACAGGAGTGGGAAGACACCTGAGGGAGCTATGAGTCTTAGGAGGCAAAGGGATTAATTCCAAGAAATTAATTTTATATGGGGGGGCTAAACATCTTCGCTCCCTTTGTAAGCAGTGATCAGGAGATGCTTCTGTCAAGAGTTACATGAACCAGAAATCAAGCTCTGCAGGTGTCTCGAGTTACCTGGAGGAATCCTTCCTTTTCTACACTGATAACAGAGCAGCACTTAAATAGATGAATCTCCCTTCCTAAAATAAAAGCCCTTCAAAATTATGAAACCACATCCCCAGCTTTTGGTTGTTTACAGAGTAGTTAAAATATTAGGGTTGTTTTAGGCTGGTATACATGGAAAGCATGATTTAATGAACAGTCCCACTGATAGTGTTGGTTTTGCTCTGCAAATTTTTGATCATTAATATAACCTTCCAATTAATCATGTGAAAAATGAACACAATCAGGAAAACACTGAAAAATAGAGGATGAGTGTTCAAGAGTGGAACAAATTAAAAAAAAATAGGGATAAATTTGCACCCCATTAGGGAAATTTCAATGCATGTGTAATCTTAAGAGCTCAATATATTTCTTCCATAGCATTAATCTAACAGTATTTTAATAGTTCAAAGCAGCACCTACACTAGGTTTCTCTAATTATCACACAGAAGCAGCTTAAAGCAAACAATTGCTTTAAATTTCTTGGTACCATCAATAAACAGTAACTTCATCAGTGCTTTAACACAGTTGAAGGGCTGTAAAGAACAGACTGCTTCTTCTCTTGGAAGGCAAATTTTTACATTGGATTATTTTCAGAGGTTATTTTTAGTTTGGCTGGATAGTTAGCAGAGTTTTGGTGCTTGTAAGATTTATATAAATCATGGAAAAAGGTGGCTTAACGATACAGATGGCACAGGGCCATGGAATGCACATGCTGCCTGCCTTAAAAAAACCATGAAATGCGTTCCTCTCACCATGGCATCCCCAGGAAACCTAAAAGGGGAAAATATCTTTGTTTCATTAGAAATTCAGCCTAGGAATTCAAACTTCTAAATACAGATTGCTAGTCTGTGCCTTTTAAGAGGTACTACCCTGAAGCCCACGTTAAGCAGCTGCATGCATCTGGAGGTGCAGGGGTTGCCAGGGGAGTAATTGAACTTTAGCACTGAGGACAACAGTGGACTTCCTTAAAACCAAGCTGTCTACCCCATTAAGGCTCAAGAGAAGGCACAATCAAGCCCTTTATTTAGCTGCAGGTGATGATGGTGACTGCTTCAGATCTTATAATAAAAGCAGACAGGTTTCAGTTCACCATTAAAGTGGATGTATAAGTTTTCGATTGTAAAAGTTAGAGGAAGACAAAACCACGAGTTAAGAACAAAGTTTTTTGGGTGAAAAGCTCTCAGGAATTACACAGATGAAGCTTTCCAGGATGCTTCTGTTGTGGTCTGGAAAACAAAAAATTGTCCGCAGACCAAAATTATATACAAAATTGTACCAGAAATGCATTCCATTTTTATAGATTTCTCTTCTGTGAAAACAAGAATGAAAGCCACAATCTTGCCTGGTAGGTGATATTGCATAGAATATGAATGCCAAATTTTTAACTCCTGGAGAGAATTCTTACATCTCCAGCTGCAGGACAGTCTTCAGAAATGGGGATTGACCTTGAGAACTAAACCTTCAAGACTTCAGGTGGAAATAGGACTTATTTGACCAATAGTAAATGTCTCCATCAGAGTTACTTAATTAAATAATTTCAAAGTCAATGGAAAAAAAAGCTGAGTGTGCTAAACTTGATGCATCTCACCAAAATAGGTGACTGACTCTAAGAGGAGGTAGGATGCCTGTGACCAGTCTCCAGCTAGGTGAGAAGGGTTGTTGCAAGCAGATTGTATCAGCAGTAAATTGCTAGGTTGTACTGAAACACTGGAGACTCCAAGATGCCTTCAGAGAGAGAAGGAGATGAACTGCCTGTTAGAGGTAACTCCATGGACTGCAGAAAGTTAGATCAGTAGCTTAGACTAGATGTGTATTAAATGGCTAAAGATGGATGAAATAACCCGCTCACCCCCAGCTGTTTTTAACAGGATACCATTAAGAGTAACACTGAGAATGGAGACATCAGTTACAGACACTCTCCACATATGATCATGTGGTACTCAGGCTGAAACCTCAGCCCGTTTTCTGACTGAATCATGAGAAGTCACAATATAGAGTAACCTATACACAGAGAAACATTCATATCATATGCAAGACGGATGGTATGGGCTCCCTCAGTTTGGCTGCCTGCTTGAAAACATCTAGAACAGAACTGGTATTTACAAAATACTGAATCGCTGTTGTCTGAACATCAGGCTGGTATGAGACATGTCAGATTCCACATCCATTAATTAAATCACTCAAAAGATGAATACTGATTCAATTAATAGTAATTTTAGACAAGAGTTGGTGTTTTCAAAGCAACAGAAAACTCAGAAAGTGTGCGCTTGGGAATTCTTCATTATTGTCATGACCCCTTAAAGACTTCCCAAACAGACATCAAAAAATTTGAAACACAGCTATCTTCTAACATTTTTTACCAAAACTTTTAGGTAAGCAATTGATAAACTTCTATATAAGTAGTAATAATTAAAACCATTTATGCTATATTCATCAGTGTTACTTTACCAAAAAGAGATATCCTGCATTCTCTGCTTTGTGCATGACACTTTCAAATATGTTGGTGTCTCCTTGTTTTGCTTCAAGGGCAGCAATAAGCTGTTGTTTTGACACTGCAGAAAAGTCTTAATCTTTCATTCTTTGCTGCAAGGACTTCAGATTAACTCTGTCCCTAACCAGATGCAAATAGAATCTGTACATAGAAATCATCTTGACTATGGAAAAAGTACTAGTATTTTTGTTTACAATTTCACAGTTTAGAATGAATTTAACCCACACCAGCCAAAGTGTTTTAAAATTCTTGTAACTAAGCTATTTCACTTGATGTATTCTTTCTCAGTGCTCATTTGCACTGCAACTGCATGTATGAAGTGGCTGAACTGCAATCATTTGTGACATTGGAGGAAACATGCTATTTCATTCCTGAGGCAGAACACCCAAGTAACAAATAAAAAACCCACAATGTACCATTGTACAGGATGTTCTTTAATCATGTAAGGATATTGCAGCTATATTCATTGCTCTAAATTATGAGCTTTCTGTAGGATTTTTTCCTAGCCAAAAGAAAAAATAAGTTAAACTAATTTTAAGTATTATCTGTAAGTACTTAAAAATGAATCGTTTGTTCTTTTAGTCTTTTGTCTGACTAACATCCAAAACATTTAATGAATTTTAAAAAAGGCATTATTATTATGGATGATACCATACTAATTAAGGGTATAGTACAGACATTAGAGAATAGTGTTCCTTATGGAGGACTCTTAATTGTATTCCTGCTATCCTACTATCAGTGGATACTGAAATAATGAACAGTTTAAATAAACTAGCTACTGTTTATTTAGTTATCCTCCATAAAAATGTTACACTGTTTTCCATGGGATTTGTGTTTGTATGAATATGGGAACTCTGGTTAAAGAACTAGAGACTTAATCTTTAGTATTTTTTTCTGCTATTTTAATTACTGCTTCTTATGGAGTCCTTCAAGCTTTGTCATCAGCTGAACATAGAATCCACGAGAATTTGACATGTGCATAAAAGATTTCTGAACTTGTAGTATTACTAATTGCTTTTTAAAATCAGTCCTTATAGAGTTTTCTCCACCTCACAGGATAACATGCTGAGAAATTTGGTTTTGTAACATCTATTTGTTAACATTTCCTTCTCTTTCTTTGGAGGGTATCTCTGACTGCCTCTCTCATTCTGTCCTGATGAACTTTTATGCTGGTTTTATGCTCATTTATAAATGGTGCCTAAAATTCTTTGTCAATCCCCGAAACTTTTACTGCACACACAGCCCCAGAAACCAGCTCACAGAAACTTTGACAAGCAATATTATAACAGTAATTATTATACAAAAGCTAGATTGGTTAGCAATGATGACTTCCAGACGAGGATGGATTTTTCACTAGTGCCATCACCTCATGTCCTATAGTCACAGAGCAGAACAGAAATGCTCAGCATCTGTTACCAGCTCCAACTATTTCCTATAATAATGGAAGAGCTCATTTCCTTCACCAGCTGTGCCCTGAACAGAGAAGGGTCCGAGGTTGCTTTAATCTCTTCATTGCTTTATGCATAATGAATTCAGGGATAGTTCCAAAAAAGTATTTAGGTGATGCTAAAATGTCATAAGAGTCAAGTATTTAAGTAGCTGGTGGGTTTTTTTCCGCTCCAGAACTGGTCCCCAAATATTGTGGAGAAAAGTGGCAATAAAAATTCCAGAGAATCATTCCCTAAAACAGCTCCAAAAAGAAGGTATACACAAGTGCACTTCATGGCAAAATTACATCGTCTAAGCACACATGATGGATGATGAGATGAATGAGAGAAGAAATAATTCAGCCCCCAATAGCCCTGGGTAGGTGAATCAGATTTGAGTTTGCAAGACTGATGGACAGCAGATCATTCAACCCTTGACTGAAAAATGTACTTACTACTTTTCCTTCAAGATGTTTACAAGATGCCATGAATTGTGCAGAGACCATTCCAGTTGCAGAGCGTTTGGATACACAAAGCTTGGTTCCCTAGCACAGCACACTCATAGTCCTGGAATACAACTTATGGATTTGGATAGATGAAGAAGGACAAAGATTGTAAAAATATTACTTAGCATGATAGGCAGTGGTCACAACATATCTGTGGACAAACATTTGTCAAGTTGATGTTAGGGATTTTAAGGGCTATATTTGAATGTGGATGATGAATTATTTTTATGTGAGCCTCTCCTAAGCACAGCAGACAGGACAGAAGAAAGCACAAAAGCATGCTTCTGAAGAATTTATAAACATTACTGGATTTTATAAACAAAATTCCTGTCTCTGACACACAGTGAGAAAACAAGAAAAGGATAAAAGTCTGTTTCTCTTAAAACAAACAAACAAACAAACAAACAAATCTCATTTTCTATTAATGCTGTGGTCTGGCTAACATACAAAGAAGTATTTCAGTTCTGGATAGCTTAGACAGAAGAGTCAAGAAAATTATTTGCATGGTGACAACTTCTTCCCTTTTCCCCCTTTTATCTTTACCCTATCTTTAGCCAGTGTTTCGTATATGATGCCAAGCTGAATTTTGCCTTTTGTTGAAGAGTTCTGATTCCATCCCTCTCCAAACTCACAAGACTACACCATCCATAAATACCACACTGTTTAGAGTCAGGATGCTATCATTTTGTTGCACCAAAGTTTTCATAAATGTAACTAAACATTCTTTATGGCAGGAACTGCTGCATTTGTCTTCGCCTTAGCCATAGGACTGCAGAGTGAGCCCTTTCAGTGATGTCTATGGATGTTCTCTGGCAGCATTGTGTATCCCCATCCTGCTACCTGGCCATGCCCAGTATTCACACAGCACCTAGCTGCACATGTTGTCAGGCCCTTTTAGGAGGGACGTGTCTATTGTGCCAAGGTCACATTCCCACAAAGCAGTCTCTTGTCATACACTGTAAGACAGGCAGACACACTCTATGCAAAGGAACAGCCCACACTCAAGATTTACCTTGCAGTGTATCCCTGAGCTCGTTTAAACCCTACCCCGAGAATGGATTTGCATCTGAATTACTTGGGTGGGAAGCAAGTCAGGATTTGATCAGGCATGGATAAAGATTCCTACTTAAAATCCGCATTAACGTATATCTCTCCTTGATACAAGAAAGAGAACTATACAGAACTATTTTATACAACATGAAATGGCCCCAGTAAAAGAAATGGGGTGTATGGTTGCCAAGACACTCTCCTATGAAAGGGAGTTATAGGACCTGTGAAGGATGTCACACAGCCCATTGACTTTGAGTTGGAAACAGAAAAAAGGATTCAGGATAGTGAGAGTGAGAAGCGGTAGGAGGAAGAGCACTTCGAATTCCATTCTAAGCCGTGTCCCACAGAAATCCCAGAGGACGTTGTGGGTGTTCCAGAGAAGAAAGAAATGTCAAATCCACAGCTTGGCTTCAGAATGGAAGATGGAAGAGTGGCCTCCCACCTTTCCAGGCATGCTATGACAACTGGTACTACAGTATGTCAAAAGCAGATGTTCCTCAGTCTCACCTCTTTGAACAGGCCTGTGACTCCTCCATCCTAGGTCTAAATATCCTCCAAAGTCCCAGCAGTCATTCAGCGTCTTGAAGATATTAACGATGGCAGCAATTTCCCCTTCCCATTCTCCTGATTAAACAGAAGGAAGGAGGCAGAAAAAAGATGAGAGACGTAAAACTCCAGATGTTGTCGACACCAATATCTGGTTCCACCAGAGAATTTGAACACTGAAGCAATGATGAATTACAGTGGGATCCCTACGGCAATCCAGATTGCAATCATAATACCACTGAGGAAGAATAAGGGCTAGCATTCATTACTGTGAATAGTAAATGAATTTATGACAATTTCTACTGGTCCTTTCAAAGAACATGAACACATCTGTAAGAAATTAAGACGGCACAGCACTGTAACTCATTCATTAATAAAGTCTGGTATTGCACATTTGTTGCAAAATTTGTCGCAACTGTTACCAGTGGTTTTTAATTCTCTAAGTGTATGTTATTAAAACCATAACACAAATCTCTCTGGCAGGAGAGTGCTAACTAATTTGCAGACTATTCTTTAGGTGATTTATTTTTAGTCCAGTCTTACTTTGGTGAAGAAACTGAACTTCAGGTTTAAAGCAAGTAGGTTTTAATCATTAAAAATATGTACAACAGAGTTACAGCCACCCCACTTTCTTTTTGATAATACATCAATTAATTTTACACTATGAAAAACCTATTAAAGGACCTCTCTGTGATCTGAGTAACTGTGGAGGGAGAAATAATACCAGAAAAGCAAACCCTAAACAAAGAGCAAACCCAATAATAACATACCAGGCTGTGACGGAGTCAGAGTAGTCACAGCTGTATTCCTGTGAGTGTGGAGTCACAGTTTGCCCATTTTTAAGGACAGGCTGTCAGGATACAACCTAGTCAATGATGAGAAGAAACAAAAATTAGCAAAATTTATGCATTTTACCCTGCGCAATAGGAAGAGTATCTATTAGCCACATGTTATAAAGCATAAGCTAACACCTTGCTACTCCACTTGGCAATAGTTCCTACTGAGCTGTGTGTCTCAGCTTTGCACATGTATCACTGTCAAATATACCTGATAAAAGTCTTGCTACTGCAACCAGCCCACACATATCTGCACAAATGTGCCAAAAGCCTACCGAGAGAGAAGGTCTGCATTAGGGTGTAGCATAGAGGCATTTTCATGCATGAGATCCACAAGATGCTGTGAAGAGCATCCCCTATGTATCTCCTGTGCCCTTCAGAATGTTGAAGCCTGGATTCTGCAGGTGGCTACACAGTGCACCTTCAAGTGGTGCTAATGGGGAAGCTGTAGCTGCCTTGGCCACTCCATTAAGCCTGTCCATGTGAGGCTAAACACAAAAAAATATTTGCAGGATTGTGGTCTTATTTACTCCATTAGACACAAAAAATTATTAAGAATAAAGTCTGCATCTTAGAAACACATATTTGATTTTTCTTCTATATATTGAGGGAAAAGTTGAGAGGAAAAGAAGTTATGAATCCTTGGCTTACGCTCAACAAAACTCATCACAACAAACTCAGTGTTTTACAAGCTACAGGGGAAAATATGAGAAAATGCAATATTAATTTGAAAGAGCAATACTTTATATTGGCTATAAATCAAACTAACAGTCAAGTTCATTCATAATTTAATGACAAAGTTGCAATTTTTTTAATGTTACTGAACAGATTTATGTACATTACTGACAGCCAACACAAAAATATTTGGAAGATATTCTGTGAAAATTAAGAAAACAATCTGAATATTTCCCTGTGAACCACTAGTAATAGCTACAAATATTTGTGTTAACATGCTATTTATTTGATAGTTTTTCTACTAGTTATGAAGTATCATCTCAGCTCCTACTTGAGCGCTGGAAGGAAAGGTGAAAATCTAAACCAGGTCACTGATGTTTTGCTGCTCGAAGCAAGGATCCAGCTCTGACCAGGTGTGCTCTGCTCTTGAGCAATCCTCACTGCAGGTCTGGGCTGACCTTCTACAGCAATGGCAAAGACAACAGCCATGAGTTCAATAACCCCTTTCTTACTGCAGGAATTGTTCCAGAGGAATGTGTTTCCTTGTCCATGTCATCAGTGGCATGATCTGCTCTACAGTTTGTAGACACTTGGACTCACTTGCACAGAGGTGCTCAGAAGATGAAATGCCACTCAATTCTGTAGGATTCAGAGGGTCCTAAATGACCGTCTGAAATCTGTCATTTTTTATTCTCATGAGTCTTCACAATCCTCATGCCCAAATCTTGTTTTGTAAGTTGTTGAAACCCACAGAATTGTCATCTATAATGGGATTTCCAGCTTCAGAAGAAAAAAACCAAACAAACCACAACTTCAGCATTCCTTTATTGCTCATATATGTTCTTCACATGTTAGCTGTCAGGCTTGCAGTGTCCCACCAGTCCTCTTTCCTACCAGTCCTCTCTCCTCTGCCATTTCAGGAATCAAATGGCATTGGCTTTCACAATGGTAACACCTTCAGTAAACACACCATAAGCACCCAGAATGAAAAAAAAAAGCCAATAGAAATTTGACTTTAAACAAGTAGCTCCTCCAGACCACAGAGAAAGAACACTCTGGACTTTGGCAGCACTTAGATATATCTTATTAAATCAGTAAAGTTTTATTTAGTGCTGGTTGAAATTGTGAGTCTTTCTAAAATACCTCTGTAAATTGTGACTGCTTGGATGGACCTGTGTTAATCAATCATGAAACAGCATTCTGTTTTGACTTAAGAGTGTGTAGATTCATCAACATTTCAAGCTGATAATAGAGAAGCTAAGCCAGTGTAGCTGGGTTTTGGTAGCGGGGGGGCTACAGGGGTGAATTCTGTTAGAAGCTGCCAGAAGCTTCCCCTGTCTGGTAGAGCCAACGCCATCCAGCCCCAGGACGGGCTTCCTGCCGCTGGCCAAGGCCGAGCCACTCAAGAGTGACAGTAACGCCTCTGGGATAACATATTTAAAAGTTATTGTGCAGTCAGAATTCCAGTCAGGGAAGAGCAGAGTGAGAACATGGGAACAACAAAGTAGACACCAGGGTCAGTGCAGAAGGAGGGGCAGGAGAAGCTCCAGGCGCCGGAGCTGAGGCCCTGCAGCCCGTGGTGCAGACCAGGGTGGGGCAGCTGTGCCCCTGCAGCCCATGGGGGACCACAGGGGTGCAGAGACCCCCCTGCAGCCCATGGAGGAGCCCATGCTGGAGCAGGTGGATGCCCAAAGGAGGTTGTGACCCTGTGGGAGGCCCAACATGGAGCGGGGTCCTGCCAGGGACCTGCAGCCCATGGAGAAGGGAGCCCACACTGGAACAGGCTTTTCCTGAGTGGGACTTGTGGCCCCTGTGTGCGACCCACATGGGTACAGCTCATTCCTGAAGGACTGCACCCCATGGAGGAGTGACCCATGGGACAGCAGTTTCATAAAGAACTGTTGCCTGTGGGATGGACTCACGTTGGAGAGGTCCATCAAGGACTGTTTCCCATGGGAGAGACGCCACAGGAGCACGGGAAGGACTCCTCTCCCTGAGCAGCGGCAGAAACAACAACTGATCACAACCCCCATTCCCCGTCCCCCTGCACCGCTGGGGGGGTAGGAGGGAGAACATGGAAGGAAGGAGGAGGGGGGAAAGGTGTTTTAAGGTGTTTTTAAGATTATTTTACTTCTCACTCTTTTGCTCTGATCCTGTTAGTAATAAGTTCAATTAATATCCCTACTTTGAGTCTGTTTTGCCTGTGATGGTGATCACTGGGTGACTTCTCCCAGCTCTTAACTCATGAATCTTTCACTGGATTTTTTTCTCTCCTCTATCCAGTTACAGAGGGGAGTGAGAGAGTGGCTGTAGTGAGTACCTGGCATCCAACCAGGGTCAACCCACTACAGCCAGCTATATCCCTTGCATCATGAGGTGCAGGCCCACATTACAGAACCTGCAGCCACAGTTTCCATGTTCTCAGCATGGCTGGGCCCAGCTCTTTGGTGGTGACTCAAATGCAGTGCCTGTGCTCCCCAGGAGAGTGGAGGTCGCCTGCTCTGCCTTATTGCAAGGCTCAGTGTCAAAAAGGCCCCTAGAAGTCAAAAAGCCACAGATAAACTCACTGACGACTGTGGGTAGAAACACTTCACTGCTTTGGCAGGTGTAGAAAAGGAGCCTACAAAAAAGAGTGAATTACCCTTAGCTCCATCTCAGCTAATAATTCCCACAAGCCAGCTATCCTCTTGTGCTGGGACTGCTCTTTTTCCTGGTAAAATAAGAACATATTTTTAAATATATCAAAGTGCTATTTTCAAAAATGAATTAAGCTGTGAAACACTATGACTCACCAAAAATGTAAGGGGAAAGAGGGAGAAATCCAGGGTACATGGCTCTGGTGGGTGGAAAGGGGTTGCTCCTGACTTCTGATGGCTCAGGCTGAATTCAGACTGACAGCACACAGACTCTCTGGGATCAGACCACACGTACATTCAGCTTTGCTTCCTTTCTCCCTAATTTACATAAAATGGAAGGGCAGAAAATGAACCTGTCCCATCATTCAGGCAGTCAGTGGAGTTATGGTCTTCACTCAATGATCTCATTACCCATTCCAAGATAACACCCATAAGCATGTTTTTGATCAGCAGAAGTGGCAATGCCATTGAAAAAATACACCACATCAGACACAAGTACCAAAAAAATATTGCTTATGACAAAGCAAGGTGGCCCTTGCTCTACAGGACTAAAGCCTAAGGCTTTCAAAACCCATTTTGGGTAGAAAAAACCCCACTCAAACTCATCAATATTATGTATAAGAAACACAGTGAGTACACAGAAAACAAGCAACAATTGAAGCAGTCCTGGACCAGCCTTGGGCTTGAACCATGTGAAACCTTTGCCTGTGTCCATATTTAGTGTTTACTAAATTCTTATGCCTTGGCACCAATAAGAGACTTCAGCACAAGCTGACTGCACAGCCACTAGGATTTTTAATGACCAATAAATTATCTGCTGCTTTGGAAAAGCCAGTTATCATATTTAATTTGACAGGCCCATACGGTATGAATTCCACAGACACAAAACAAACGTCAGGCCTTGAGACTAGTGCACATTTCCCCAGATGCAAAATAGACACTCACCAGTTGCTCTCTTAGGAGGATGGAAAAAGCTAATCCCTCTAAATTATGCAAACCAAACAGTGAGTGAAGGCTTAAAGACCCAGCATTTATTTTTAACAAGTAAAGCATTAACCACACTACTGCTTTTCACATCTGCCTTTTAATTTTTTTTTTTTATTTTTTTTTGCCTTTCAATGATATGCAGTGAAACTATTTTAAGATCTGCTCCTGAGTGCCTGCAGCTGGCACATCTTGGAGGGAATAGTAGATGCTCATTTCTCCTCAGATCTGCCACCCTGCCTCCTAAACGTTTATCATGCTCCTGTAGAGAGACTTGGACCATGGAAGATCTTCTCCAATCCAACTCCTATTTAATTTTTCATCAAGGGATACAGTGAGTGGAGAGCTTTTTCTTTTACTCGCTTTGTATCTCATTCAAATCTGGGCTGGAACAGAAACAGAGGAGGAACATCCACTGAACTCTAAGTGCTTTCCAGCTCTGGTTCACATCTGTTACTAATGTATCTTTATGTTACTGGATAGTTTAATAAACATGGAAGTAAGAGCTGTCTGATAAATTTGGTCCTATAATTTCAGAAGTTGGTCCCTGCCTCTGACACGAACCTCTTGGAGAGGCCGATGTATTTACACCATTCATCTTCCACATTGCAAATTGAAATAACGACACTTTCCTTTGCCATAAGCCACGTGAGAAAGTCGGAAGAGCTCTGCTTGAAAAGTTGGTGCTACTGGAAAGCGGTCTAATGGGGCAGGAGCCCTACTGTCACTTTGCTGTCATGTGTGTCAGGACAGGGAGACACTCTGGCTCTGTGCAGGGTTGCACAGACTGGTACTGGCGAACAGCACTAAGGGAGCGAGAGGGAGGGAAGGAGAATACTTGAGACGCTAAAATAAACCGCGGAGCAGACTCGGCGCTAGCAAGC